CTAGACTGTAGCAAAAAGCTGGTTAGTTTCAAGGAAAAAAACAAAAACAAAAACACACATGCAGGAGCGCTAAGAGGAGAGTACAGGTGAATCAGGACGCCAGGACACCAGGAAGCGCTCCCCCAGCCTGCCATGGCTCTCTGACTTGCCTTTGGGGCAAGTTCGGAAGGTCTTGGATCCTCCTTAATATCACCTACATCAGTTTGTCCATCTGCCAGTCTTTATGTTCCTCCCAGATCTAAATCTACAAAGTTTTTAAAGATCCAGACTTTCAACCAGTGTCCCCTCCTGGACCAACACATTTGTCTCACGCCAGTTCTGTATTTTTACTTTTGGGGGTATACTTCCAATGGATCTAACAAACAGCAAGCCCGTTGTTTGTAGACTTAGTAAACATGTCTATCAACTAGGATATGATCTTGTTAATATTCTCCTTGGGGTTCAGGGCGCCTCCCATGTACTAGGAGCCCCCCAAAGTATTCATGAAATAGTGAACAACTGTCATGATGACAATTTAGTAAGGCTCGAGGATGCAGAAAGAGAGGAAATGAAGCTGGGGAGGTGGAGTAGGTGTTTCATGAAGGTCTTTCAAGGCCAAATTAAGGACAGTGTTTTGAAGGTCTCGAGAAGCCACTTAGGAGATGATAGGCTGCATGGAGGTGGGCTGACCGCATTGAGGGAATCCAGTTAAGCGATGAGCTAAGGCAGTGCCAGTGGGACGGAGTGCAGGGCATGTCTCCAGACCTTGTTTGTTCAGCATAGTGTCAAAAGTTAAAAGCGAATAGGGTCAGCTGGCAAAATCTGCAGGCCACACAAGACGGGGATCTCTGGCTTTCTTTGATATGGCCATGGTAGTCTTCAAAGACACATTCAATTCTTTTATTGGAGTAGTTGTCTAAACTGTTTGTTCCTTCTCTTCAAGCCAGTCTTTCAACCAGGAGAATTGTTTTTGAGTCACATCTATTTGGGGAAGGACAAAAATGTGTCTGAAAGGCCCAGCAGGTTCTAATAGCTCTTCTTGCTCTGGGAGATTGAAGTCCACCAGCAACGTGACCTACTTAGAAATGCTCCCTTAGATAATCCCGTGTTGTGTTCTCTGAGCCCCCCGGTGGATCTGCATAGCACAGGGGTTCCATTTAATGGCTCTTTTCTTCCCAAAGGAAGTATTTCTTCAGGATCTCTAGAGAAGGGAGCTGGCACGGGGTGGTGGGGAGAGGTGGTCAAGACCCTGGCCTGGGGCTGAGGGGTGGGGGTGGGGACTCAGGGTAAGCCCACACAACAAAACGAACAAAAACCCAAAAACTTGCCTCCATTCCTTTCCCTTTTTCTAGCCTAACCTAAAATTTGTCTGTGCCAGTTTTATTCTTCAAGCTTCGAGGCATCAATTAGTTGAACACCCTCTGTTGTCACTCAAAGGCCTTCCCAATCTGGCCCTAACTTCTTTTCCACACTGATCTCCAGCCATCCTCCCAGGGTCCCCCTAAGCTCCCTCTTGACTCATCAGCTTCTCTGGAGTCACATCATTAGGTAATTTGGCATCACTGAAGGAGAGCAGAATATGCCACCCCAAAAGATGTCACCTTGGCCAATTGATTATTTTGAATTGAGCTTACTTAAGAAATAGTTGGTGCAAGAAGGATCCGTGGAGCCTCCTTTGTTCCTTTGGAAATAAATCCCCCTTGTGAAAGGTATGCTCCTTGTACCAGCAGGGTAGGAGGCATCCTCATCACCAGATATAGGGAATTTAGGGCTAAGAGGGCTGTATAAAGAACACTTGTCACTTCTAAACTAATTTACTACCCCAAGCCCAAACCCCTTCATCTGGTCAATTCTTTACAAATTTATTGTTTCTTTGTCTAAAAGGTATATAAGCTGCCTGCTTTGGTCGCTTGAGTATCCTATTCTTTTTTTTTTTTTTTTTTTGGTACTCCTGTACATACAAAATTAAAATTTTTTCCCCTGTTAATCTGTCTTATGTCGATTATTAGGCCAGCCAAAGAACCTAGAAGGCAAGAATGGAAAAATTTCCCACCCCTGCATTACCCAAATTTGCAAGATTCACTGTATAATTTTGTCAGTCTGAGCATTTACTTGGGCACGTATATTCCTAAGCGAACACACAGGGATGTGCTCAGTTGTTGGTGTATAGTGTATAATCTCTGTTGAATGCACTTGATTGTAAGGTAAAGTGGAATTGTAGAGGAATGTTCTGGTATAGAATAGAGGAGGCCAGATCCCAAGGACCTGGGTTGGGGACTCTGAGTTGTCTGGCAGGCAGGCCCTTCCAGTTGTAGCCAATAGATTCCTGTGCGCATTTAAGGTTTCTTTGAGCTAGCACTGGTTTCCAGGAGAGGAGATAAGTGTATGGGGGAGGAAGCTTTGTATAGGTGGAGAGTTTGAATCTGGACTCTCAAACTTACTGGCTGTGTGACCTTGGCAAGTGCCTTGACCTCTCTGAGCCTCAGTTTTCTCTTCTATGGAATAGAGAAATAAGGATATCTATCTTGCACTGTTGTGAAGTTCAATGAGATGATACATTTTTTGTACTCAAGTGAGAAAGTGTTGCTTTTTTTCTACTTGGAAGGCAGCGTTTTCTGTCTGGGTGGTATTTGCCAGTTTTCCAACAATCATGCACGATTCTCGAGACTTTTACCATATCACTGGCAAAGATCAAACATCACCTGTACTCCCGTTTAATTAAAAAAAAAACTTATTCTTACTAACAGAATACATTTATTTAGGAAGGAGACTATATCAATCCTATAACCATAGGATAACTATAAAAACAAACACAATGAAAACAACACAGTGTTATGTTACTGCTGTTCAGCCAGATACTGTTCTCTGCTAAAGGCTGTGAATCTAAGGCTTGTTTTCACTTTGTTGCAAAAGGGCAATTCGTGAGTTAGCAGGTAGGTGGTAGAGCTGTGCTGGTCCCCCAAAGAAGATTTTGATGTCCTTGACCATCAAAAGGGATTGAAAGAACTGAAAAAATACAATCACACTTTCTCTATGTGATTCAGTGTTATTTAATGCTATGCTTGAACACCTTTTGAAATCATGTCAGTTCCCACAAAAGATAGCATCTTCCACTTTGGGAAACGCTGGCCTTGATCATCAGTCATTTGAGAGCACAATATTAGCCCATGACTGCAGGGATGTGGGTCATGGTCAGGATCTCTAGAGAAGGGAGCTGGCACTGGGTGGTGGGGAGGGGTGGTCAAGAACCTGGCCTGGGGGTGAGGGGTGGGGGTGGAGATTCAGGGCAGGCTGCAGCAGAGTGGAGTGCTAAAAATCCAGAGGGTCTCACCTCAAAGGCTGCAGATTTGCTGCTCAAGTGGGGTGAGGGTAAGGCTCTTATTGTGCTTTTGGCTGTGTTATACATTGCTGCAGAGGTGAGGGAATATGGAGAAATGCAGATCTGGGTGCTGGGCATTTATATAATTATAGCTATTTTTATGGAGCTCTTCCCAAGGTTTCTGAACATATTAACTCATTTAATTCTCATAACAACCCAGTGAATAAAAATCTGTATTCTCTTCATTTCACACATGAAGAAACTGCAGCCTAAAGGTTAAATAACTTGCTCTGATTTTCTGAGCCTGTAAGTGGCAGAGCTGGTATCTGTAAATGTATGCGGTGGGCAAGAATTTGCTTTACAACACCACCCAAGGCAAGAAAGTGCATTCAAAGTGTTTTTCTTAATCAAATCGCAGTAGTGTTGGTAGATGGCCATTATCAGTCTTTGTTAGGTTTCCCTTCCCCACTCCCGTGGGTGGACCACTTAAGTGGTCCCCCAAACAGTGGGGGTGCCTGGCTCTTAGCCCATGGCTGTGGCCACCATGGTTTTCCTTGTTCTTCCTGCTACTCAGGGCTGCCTGCAAGAGCTAGCTTTGCGCCCTCTGCTAGGCAATTCCGGTCTGGATAAATACAGTGACACCACTCAACAATCTGTTTACAGACTGTACGGCTGGGTGGGACCCCATTGCTGATCCCAGGGCTGCAGGATTAATAGTCTCCATAGCTGCCTCCCAGCTCTCCTCCATCCAGAGTGCTGCCTGTAAGAGGGACTGGGGTCCATCTCCTCTCAGGGAACTCACTTCCTACTTCTCAGTGTTCCCCCTCTCCCAGAGCTTGGGCACCTCATCTATAAGTCAAAACACCAGCCCCTCTTCCTCGTCCCTTCTAGCTTAGCTCCTGGGAGAGTCTAATTGTCTGGAGGGTTGGTTAAAGGCTTCTTTGGCCTTGCCCTTGAATCAACACACACACACACACACAAATGTTACCTGTTTCCTATGGAAAGAAGAACATAGGGCAGAGGTTCTTGACCTTGAGTTAGCACAAAATTACCTGGAGAACTTGCTAATAAAACAGGTTTCTGTCCCCTTTTTGTTTCAAAAGATTTGGAATGGGGCTCAGGAATCTGTATTTAACTGGCAGGAAATGGTTCTGCTGCAGGTGATTTGAGGACCACACCGTGGAAAACACTGGCTTGCCTTTAGGACACAGAAGAACCAAGAGGGAGAAAATTAACATTTCAGGGAGTACTAGGCAAACATTAACATCTTAACAAATCAACCTGCATAATATAAATACATATTTGCAATATGTAATATTATGGAAATTATTGGTATAATGATACGAATATATGATCTGCTTAGCATTTCCAACTACTATTATAATGTGATCATTTTCTTCTCTTTCCTAATAAGTCCTTCAAAAACACAATTTTTATAATGCCATAATATTTAACTGTATAAGTATGCTAACATTTATTTACCATTTTTAATACATGCTTGTTTTCCAGGTTTGATGTTCTAAGTAACGTTTTGATCAACATATATCTCCATACATTATTCTCTTGCCTTTATGTTTTAAAATGAAGAACTGTTCTGAACATCCCTAGTACTTTCAAGGATTTAGTATTGCTTTGAAATACTTGTTTTTTTCTTCCCACTGAAAGATCAGGTGGTCTGGTTTGTGTTTAATAATCAAAGGAGATATGATAGTTTGTGCGGCTTATGCTCATGAACTCCCAAAGTATGGTGTGATGTTTGGCCCGACAAATTATGCTGTAGCGTATTGTACTGGCCTGCTGCTGGCCCGCAGGCTCTTCAGTAGGTTTGGCATGGACAAGCTCTATGAAGGCCAAGTGGAAGTGACTGGAGATGAATACAATGTGGAAAGCATTGATGGTCAACCTGGTGCCTTCACGTGCTATTTGGATGCAGGGCTGGCCAGAACTACTACTGGAAATAAAGTTTTTGGGGCCCTCAAGGGAGCAGTGGATGGAGGCTTGTCTATCCCTCACAGTACCAAACGATTCCCTGGTTATGATTCAGAAAACAAGGAATTCAATGCAGAAGTACATCGAAAGCACGTCATGGGTCAGAATGTTGCAGATTATATGCGTTACCTAACGGAAGAAGACGAAGATGCTTACAAGAAACAATTCTCTCAATACATAAAGAACAACGTAACTCCAGACATGATGGAGGAGATGTATAAGAAAGCTCATGCTGCTATACGAGAGAATCCAGTGTATGAGAAGAAGCCTAAGAAAGAAGTTAAAAAGAAGAGGTGGAACCGTCCCAAAATGTCTCTTGCCCAAAAGAAAGATCGGGTAGCTCAGAAGAAGGCAAGCTTCCTTAGAGCTCAGGAGCAGGCTGCTGAGAGCTAATAAACCAAACCACAATTATCTATGAAGATTTTTCAGATAAAGACAATAATAAACTTATTCATCAAGCAAAAAAAAAAAATCAATTGTTTCTCACACCTTGGAAACTAGCTTTCTGTTTTAACACAATGGAAATAGCTGGGTGATTCAGCTAAGAAGGGAGAGAAGTGTACTTTCCATGTCATACTAATGAGCAAATGCTGTTATAAGTAGGACAGGGGCAGTGATTGTGGGGAGACTCAGAGAACGCTGTCTCCCAATACCAGCCAGAGAAGTCTTGGTATTTTCAGCCCATGGATTGATGTAACCTACGCCAGAATCATCAAGCAGTATGTTTCAAGTAGCACTGCAAGTGGCTAAAATGTTACAGTCAGGAAGTTGTTAACAAATAACTCAAGCCTTCCTGAGAACCCCTGCACCACAGTTATCTCAGCGGGGAACTTGGTGGTAGTAGAAGGCCAGTTAGGGAAGCAAAGGAGTGAACGGGTCCTTGTGAAAGGTGGCATCTTCAGGATGTCAGATGACCCGACTTTTTTTTTTTTTTTTAAACATAGGTAAACCAGTTGGTCTATTCACAACAAATGCAAGGGCACTCTGGCCCATGGGCCGTTTTAGACTTGCTTTCAGCCTGACACTGAATAACTATTAACCTTTAACGAGCAAACATTTTCAAAGACTTCTATGGTTAAAGGCTCTGTGTTTGTTGTTGGAGATGCAAAAATAAGTAAAAACCCAGTGCATTATCTATCCTAGAATTGCTTACAATCTCTTGGCAGAGAGACACATAAACAGTTACAATAAAATACGATAATAGAGATATCATGGGACCTCATGGAGTAATTCTAAATATTTAAGAATAAAGAGCCATCAAATTTCCAAAAAATGGCTTATCAGTTTGTAAATGTTGCTCTTAATTTAAAACAGATACTATTCCTAGATATTAAACTAATAACAATTATGTTTTAAATATTACTTTGATGGTTCAAAGCATTGTCACAGATACAGAAGAAAATGTTGAGTCTGATACTGGAAAGGACTTTAAGAAGTCACCTAGTACAGCCCCTCTTTTTAGGGACCTCAGAAAGTCAGTGACTCATTCAAGGTCCCCCAGTAACTTGATGGTAGAGATAAGACTATAATTCAGGTCCTCTTTCCAGTGGTCCAGTGGTCTTTCTCTTCCACAGCATACAATATTTTATGCTGAGTCCCCTGCCCTCTCTTAGTACTCATTTTTGGTATGACCTACACAATTCGTATGAAAACTTAAGGAAGAGATGTCTGCAAAGCTAACTGACACATTGGACATCTCATTAGTACTCATTGGAGTTTGTTGACTTCACTATCTCTTGTTCATGTAAAATAGAATTCACTATCTTGTTCATGTAAAATAACATTTACTCAAGTTATACCTTTATATGCCTCAGTTCCCACTAAACTCGTGTCAAATAGTTTCAGGGGTACCCAAGTCTAGCTCATGTATTGGGGTACTAGTCCTTCCGGTCCAGGTTATCCACCATTTTCTTCTGCCTTGATTCACTGGGGTGAATCTCCCTTCAAGGCCAATTGCAACTGAGGACACAGCTGCTGCTGAGGGGGACAACCAGTGGGCCCAGCTTTCCAGGGGTGGGTGCTGAGGACACTCGTATCTTTGCTAAGGGGACCATCTTCTGTTACTGCTTGTGCTAAAGTTGCTACATTCCAGGCTCTTGATACATCATGAAGATTTGATCGAATCTGGTGAGAAATCTGAGTTATCCCTTCCTCCAGTTGTGACCCACTGGGCTGTGACCAGGCTGTGCTCCCCGATTCTCTCTTACAATAGGAAGCTCTTGGCCCCACATGCAAATAGACTTTGGGATGCTCGCCAACTGGGCTCTCAAGACATGAGAAAATCCTAGGATTAATAGACCTTAGACTCGAAGCATAAAATCAGTACCTAACTGGAAAAGCCTGAATTTCATGGATGTTAACACAGGTTCCAGGGACAAAGAGGCTGTGGTCATGGGAAACACTGATTTCAACAAGTGAAATAGATTTATTTTGGTGGGGGAAAGAACAGCAGCTTTTTTTGAGGTATAACATATGTAACGTTAAATCCACTCATGAGTGTACAACTCGATGATTTTTTAGCAAATTTACGAAGCTGTGCAACCGTCACTATAATCCAATTTTAAAACATTCCTCTCATTCCCCCCACCTGAATTTCCTTAAGTTTACTTACAGTCAATCCCCACTCCCACCCCTGGCCCTGGGCAACTGCTAATCTACTTTCTGTCTCTGTGGATTGCCTGTTCTGGACATTTTATATAAGTGGATTCATGTGATATGTGGCCTTTGGCATTTGGCTTCTTTGACTTGGTATGTTTTTGAGGTTCATCCGTGTTGTAGTATGTATCAGTACTTTGTGCCTTTTTATTGCTAATTATTATCCCATTGCCTGGATATACCCATTTTGTGATAGACGTTTGTATTGTTCCCAGTTTGGGGCTGTTATAAATTATATTGTTATCAACATTCTTGTATTAGTCTTTGTGTGGGCATGTTTTTTTTTTTTAATTTTTATTTCTCTCAGGTAGATACTTAGGATGGAATTGCTGGCTTATTTTGTAAGTGCATGCTTAACATTTTAAGAAATGTTAAAACTTAACATTTTAAGAAACTGAAGGAGCTGAACCATTCTTCATTCCCAGCACCGATGGATGAGGGTTCCAGTTCAGCACATTCCAGCCCACCCTAGCTATGGTCTGTCTGTGGATTCGAGCTGTTCCGGATGTGTATGTGGTGCAGCTCATTGTGGTGTTAAATAAGTATCTATTCAGGTCTTTCACAGACTTGAACCTAGCAATGTGCAGTTTGAATCTCCAGAAGAGAATAGTGAATAGGGTATGCCATGTTTCCTAAACTCAAATAAGCTCTTGGAATTCTCTCTCTCTCTCTTTTTTGCCCCCCTGAAATGAGCTTATGAAAGGCTTAATGTTCTAGAGCATACATTTTGGGAAGCATTACATCATTCCATTCTAATATTATTTTTAGCTTTGTTCTCGGTGATATTTAATTACACACAAGAGTTTACCACCCAGTGATGCTGAGTCGAATAGCACAGACTCAGAGGTTCAGAGAACTTGAGAGGTAAGGGAAGAGGCTGACGAGGTTAGGGCTGGCTTGCATCTGAGAGGTAGTGGTTTTCATGAGGAACGAAATGTCAGTTTGTTTTTCTCTGTACTTGGTTCCCCAGCACGGCCCAGATGGACCCCCACATCTCCAGTGGAGCTGGGCTGGGCTCAAGCTGAGATGTTGGCTACACTTTAATTGTCAACGCTCAGTCAGATAATGATCATAATGACAGCAACAACAAAGATAATCAGATCAAATTTACATCAATCACATCTGTGCCCGGCACCATGCTAAGCGCTCTTCGCGGATTACCTCACGTGGGTGCTTTTATTACAACGATTTTACAGATAAGGAAATTGAGGCCCGGAGTGGTGAAGAGCTTGAGCTCAGGTCATAGGACGTGGCAGAGTCAGGACTTGAACTGGGACCCCTCTGGGCCCCCTCTGATGCCAGAGTTTGTGCTCTGTGTCCCACCACCCCACTAAAAAGGCAATCTGAAAGAAGTCTGGAAAAAGATTTTTGTTTGTTTTAATTATACAGCAACTGGAGGATTCCGGAAAGGTTTCCAGTATAGAGTTTGCTTCCCGAACATCATCACCTTCCTGGTCGCCTCACCTTCTCCTTGTCCACTGACAGGAAATGCACCATCTGTTCTCCTGTGGGAGACTCCTCGTGTCCATCCTTCTCTTCCAGTCCCACAGCCACCACCTTTGTCCTGGCCTCACCACACCTCTGGATTATTACCCTCCCGGCCATGAAAACTTCTACCTAGTTTCATTGTTCCCAGGTTTTCTCTTAAAAACCAGGTCACCTATCCCCGCCAGGGAGATCTTTCTAGATTCCTGCTCTGTGTGACACACTGCTCTGCTCACTTCAACAACTGTCATGGCTCCCTTTGCTCAAAGGAGGATTCCCAGTCCCTGAGCAGGGCATTCGGACTGACTGCTCTTCACTTCCCCACTGTATCACTCTAAGTCTCCCTTCTTGGATTGACCGCCGTAGGCAGGTGCTTCACTGCTGCCCAAACAAGCTAAGTCATGTTCTCCTCCATGACTTTGCTGATCCTTGGTCTCCAGCATTCAGTGGCCTCCTCTCCTTCTGGCTTCTCTAAGCCCTTTTCTGACCTTGACAGTCTCCAACCTCTAGGATGCTGTTCCGGCACATCCTAGCCCATAACGACCTGTCCCTCTTCTGAACCCCCTGGGAGAGCCTACGATTGTGACGTCTTCAGCATCAATCTCGTTTACTGTGAAATGAGTTCGTAATAATAGTCCTTGCCTCATAGGATTGTTGTCCTGGTTAAAAGACCAGGATACGCATGATACACTCAGTCTAGTCCCTGGCACAAAGCCACAGGGCAAGTTTTATAAAAGATACTATTAGTAATAATTAAGATTGTCATTTTTATTATTGCATGATGCTTTGCATTGTTCCATCTGACTCTTCGATGAGGGGTGGATGTCTTGAGAATGGGGCTCAGGTCATGTCATATCTATCACATTGCCTGAAGCACCAGAGATTCTGGGGGATGTTCGTGGAGGATGGGTGCACAAAGCCTAACCTGGGGGTCAGAGGCTTGATGCTACTCTTGGCTGTGTAGACAACTCAGGTGTGACCTTGACTTGTCTCTTTGGAGTCCAGTCTCTTCCCATTGTACCCACTCCCTAAGCTTCTCTGTGAACCTGCTTCAAATCCAATCCCTGACGGTCAGTTCTGTGTGTTAACTTGGACACCTTTTTTAATCCTCCCTAACCCTCAGTTTTCTGCATCAATGAAATGGAGAGAATGGTTTTGCTTCACAACTGGCTGTGAGGATAAACAATTATTGCTTTTCAGTTAATAGGTGCTCTCGTGCTTATTCTGTTATTGCTGGTTAGGTGATAAATACTTGGCTTGTTAATGTTGTTGAGTGAATTCATTTCCTGGGGCTGCCTTAACCAAGTACAACAAAGTGGGTGGCTTAAATGAAGAAATTTACCGTCTCATGGTTCTGAAGGCTAGAAATCTGAAATCAGGGTTGGTTTCTTCAGAGGGCAGTAAGGGAGACTTCTCTTCTAGCTTCGGGTGGCCTCAGGCATTCCTTGGTTTGTAGATGGCGCTCTCCCCGTGTCATGTCATCTTCGCTCTATTCAGATCGGTGTCTGAGTCCAAATTTCCCCTTTTTATAAGGTCACCAGTCATCCTGGATTAGAGTCCACCCTAATGATATCATCTTAACTCAATTACTTCTAGAAAGACCGTATTTCCAAATAAGGTCACATTCTGAGGTACTGGGTTTAACACTTCAATATACCTTCTTGGGGATTCACATTTCAACCCATAACATTGAAAGTGATTAATGGTTGTATTCTCTGGAAAATGCTTTGCTGGAAAAATAACTTGGCCTTTCTCAATGGAAGAGAAAACGACCCCACAACACCCAACAGTGACTCCTCCCTACTCGAATGCACTTGCCATTTGCAGAAGCTCATTTCACGGGATCAGATGAGTGGAATTGGCATTGACAAAGATCTCCTTCTTTCTACAAAGCGAGTCCCACGACCTCTGCCCCTTGTGACATTTCCCACATATACTTTTAGAATTGCAAATCTATCATTTCTGGTTCATGACATTTTTTGTAGAGCCCCCCAGGATGGAAATAACACACCAGATCTCAGGCAGTTGGCATTCTTTCTCTGTTTTTTTTTTTTTTTTTTATAGCACTCTGCAAAACTCTCATGCTGTTTACATGTGATTTATATTCCTCCTGTGGTTCCTAAATGGATATAATAAAAACAGATTTAGAATATTAATTTGACATGATTCAGGCCAGCATGGTCCAATACAAATTTATTTACTGGGGATGATGAAAAATCTGAAAAGATAAAGTGAGAATCAGTCCTTAGTAAATCTTTCTTGCTGTCTCTTATGACACTGTTCCTGAGAAGGCCGTCCACTGGAGTTCTTGGGATATTTGTGGAAAATGTAGGTTTCCAGGTCCCACCTACCACTCTGCAAGTTCTGTGTCTTTGGAGGAGGGGTCCTGGGATTTGCATTTCTAATAAGTCCCTCAAGCCCCTGTGGTTCTGGCCCACCCTTCGTTTGAGAACCACTCGTCTCCGGCATCGCCCAGAAGAAATATATATATATTTTTAAGATTTTATTTATTTATTTGAGAGAGAGCACATGAGAGGGGGGAGGGTCAGAGGGAGAAGCAGACTCTCTGCTGAGCAGGGAGCCCGATGTGGGACTTGATTCTGGGACTCCAGGATCATGACCTGAGCCAAAGGCAGTTGCTTAACCAACTGAGCCACCCAGGTGCCCCTGTGTTTTGTTTTGTTTTGTTTTGTTTTTTCCCTGTGTTTTGTTTTTGAGTCACTGAGTTCCAGAGCTGGAGTCTGTCCAGGGCTGAAGGTGAAGAGAGCCAGGCGGGTAGACGTGGGGCAGGGGGATGAGTGTGTCCAGTCCATTGTGGGATGGCATCTGCTGAGCGTGGATTTCAGATGGGACAGGGAGGCCTGTAAAGGTTGACAACACACACACAACAGTAGGTGGGTTGAGCTGCGAGGTGAGTCTCTGGCAGCCCCAGGGAAGGGGTCCAGCAGCCAGGGAGAGCTGAAGTGGGGTCAGGTGTCTCGGAGGGGCCCTGCCTCCACCCCTGAGAGTTGCTCAGGGAGCAGCTGGGCCTCCGTGTCCCTCTGGGGAGCTGTGTGAAAACTCAGACCCCTGAGCTTGAACCAGCCCCTCTGCATGCTCGGGAATCTGCATTCTAAAGCCCTCCAGGTGATCTATGTGACAGTCCCCCTGAATAGCGTTTGGGAAGCACAGGGACCATGCAAAGAACTGACTTTGGGAATCAGTGGGTCTGGCGTTGAGTCTTCATTGTTTGATCTTGACCTAACTCCCGCTGAGCCACAGTTTCTTTATCTGTAAAATGAAAGTACAAATACTTTCTTCTTTTTGTTTTGATCGTTGTGACAGTTAGGGAGAAGGGACATGACACATTCAGCACAATTTCTGGCACACAGTAGGCGTCATGAAGTGGTGGCTCTAAACCTTTCGAGAACTGAGATTCGAAGGATGTGATTGGGACAGGGTGTGCCAGTCGCTGGGCGTGAGTATCAGCAGGTAGCCTCGGGGATTGGCTTTGGCTCTGGCAATACTGGGTCCTGGTTTCTACAGTTGGGACTAGGGAAGAAAAAGAGTGGCAATCATGTCAAGGCTAAAATAATATTTCCCACGCAGGTCCCAAGCATTTTATGAATAACCTTATGAGGTAGCTGGTATGATTATCCCCATTTTACAGATGAGAAAACAGAGCCTCAGAGAGACATGAGCATGGTCACACAGCCCTGATGTGGCAGCATGAAGCTTTCCGGCTCTGGGTCTTCAGCAGCTTTTCCTCCCTAGTTAAGCCAAGTACGAGGTCAGAGGGGCCCTCAAACCATCAAAGTGCCGAGTCTCCAAGTGAGCCAGGCCTTCGGAGAAATGGTCCTGAAGGTTTGCCACAGCATTCTAGATATAAAATCGTATAGCCACTTCATAACAAAGTTAGAAAAGCTGGCATTTTTCTAACAGAAGCTGAGCTATAATAAATCTGTCCTGTTGCCAAAGGCTTGATAAATTCTAACAAAATCCCATAACACAATATCGTCTTGTATTGAGAATCCCTTGCCCACTTTCTGCTTCCTTCTCTTGTAAGAGTTGACCCTTTTCATAGGTTAATCAGCACCTCCAAAGACCTCTCTGACCACTGTTGTTTCTTCCCTTCCCCTTTGTCTCACTGATTCAGTCCTTATTCATTTGATACAAATCCAAATGTCTAATCAAGATTTCCTCCACCTAGCACCTGAAGCGCTGGCATGTGTAAACATATTTGTATAATTCTGAGAGTATTTTAAGAATTTCTGCATTTTGTAACACTCCTCTCTCCCTTTTCTCTACTCCCAGGGCATAACCTTCAGTAGCAGAACAAATCAGGCCAGCTAGCAAGCTGCCAAGTCCTGTGGGCTCCTTGTCAAGGAAAACAGCTGACCCCATTTCTAATCAACCTCTCCCCACACAACTCTGCTGGGTCACTGAAGGAGACCAGACCAGAATTTGAAACTTTCCAAAAACGTCCAATATACACTGAATGCAAAAGGATACTTACATTGTCTTTGCATAAATCTGCTCTGTTTGGGAGATAAGGGGGAGAATCACCCAAGAAGTCACACGAACAGATTCTACCTTGAACACCTCTGCACATATAATGGGTGATGGTTATAGAAACAGCCCAAACCTCTACCACAGTGCAAGAGATATAGCTCGAGAGGCGACCTGGCAGTCCCGGAACCAAGGAATGGATGACTACAAGTATCAGGACAACTATGAGGGGTATGCCCCCAATGATGGCTATTACCGTGGCAATGAGTCCAACCCAGAGGAGGATGCACAGAGCGATGTTACAGAAGGCCATGACGAGGAGGATGAGATCTATGAGGGCGAGTACCAGGGCATCCCTCACCCAGATGATGTCAAGGCCAAGCAGGCCAAGATGGCACCCTCCAGGGCAGATGGCCTTCGGGGCCAGGCCGACCTGATGGCCGAGAGGATGGAAGATGAGGAGCAGTTGGCCCACCAGTATGAGACCATCATTGATGAGTGTGGCCACGGGCGTTTCCAATGGATCCTCTTTTTTGTCTTGGGTTTGGCTCTGATGGCTGATGGGGTGGAGGTGTTCGTGGTGAGTTTTGTCCTGCCCAGTGCAGAGAAGGACATGTGTCTGTCCAGTTCCAAAAAAGGAATGCTTGGTAAGTAGAAATTTCCAAAGATCCTTCTCTTTGTGACATTAAATTATGAAGGGGAAAGAGCAGTTAAATTTATATAGTACCTGTCACTATTGGGCACCTTAAATCTATCACGATGCCCTTGCAATGCTCTCATTTTACCTTTAAGGCATTTTTATCTCAGAGAAAATTAATTGGCTCAAGTTTACCCAGTTAATAAGTATTAGAGCTTGGATCCCTGCTCAGGTCTGTCTGACTCTCAAGTTCTTAGTTCTTTTTCCAAATCTTATTGCCTTTTTGAGAGTCAGACCTCTCTCATCTTCATATTAAACCACCTTCCATATTGAAACGGCAAATACATTTTGTGAGTGGTAGGCCAGAAAGCTTCTTCCTCTCAGCCCTCTCTGTGTCCTTCTAGAATCTGATGGCGTCTGCTCCCGGTTTCTCTTGTATGTAAGTGTCAGTGGGCTAACTGCCCATGTACCTTGGGGATGCATGCTGGGCTGAGCTTATCCCCACATCCCCTGCAGGCCACTGGGAATCACACTGTGAAGCACAGATGGATTCCACAGGATGGAGGACCAGCCTTGCAAATCAGTAATAGACTGGTACTGTGAGAGCCAAGCCTCAGATATCAGGGCCTGAGACAAAGAGGATTTTGTGAAGTTAGAGAGAGGATGGGTACCAAAGGTGTGGTGTAGAAGAGATTCATCATAATACAGACAAGGATTTGTGTTGATCATTAAATGTCTTGGAAACATATCCATTCTCTAAATGTAAAGTCCATGCAATTGATTATTTAGCAAACATATAGTTATTGAGAACTTACTATGAGTCATGTTCTTAAGAACCCTCAAGAACTCAAAACCTGTCTAACAACTTAATTCATTCACCCAATAAATATTTATTATGTGTATACTGTGTACCAGTCTCTGTGCTCAGCCCTTGGGAAGAAAATATTGAACCAGATAGACATGGTCCTTGCCTCTCAAGGGACTCACACACAGCAGGACAAATAAGCATTAACAGACGCAGAGAGTTATTCAATTACTGTAGAGGTAAGTGCTATGAAATACTTTGTAGGACTCTCTTCTCTAGTACTTGCTTTAAAGAAAGCATTGACAGGGGCACCTAGGTGGTGCAGTCAGTTAAGCATCCGACTCTTGGTTTTGGATCAGGTCCTGATCTCAGGGTCCTGATCTCAGGGTCATGAGATTGAGCCCCTCATTAGGCTCTGTGCTCAGTGTAGAGTCTGCTTCAGATTCTCTCTCTCTCCCTTTGCCCCTCCTACCCATGCTAAAATTTCCCACTAAAATAAATAAATCTTAAAAAAAAAAAAAGCAACTGTTGGCAAACATTTTCTATAAAGACCCAGATAGTAAATATTTTAGGCTTTGCAGGTCCAGATAGTCTCTGTTACCACTACTCAACTCTGCCTCGGTAGCACAAAAGCAGCTATAGACAACACACATGGGCATAACTGTGTTCCAATAAAACTTTATTTATGAAAAAAGACAAAGGGCCAGATCTAGCCTGTGGGTTGTAGTTTGCCAGCCCTGATTTAAAGCCCCTCTAAATAAGATTGGGATATAACATAAACACCTGCAATAAAGAGTTGTTCCTGGAAGCTTTTAAAGAACAAACTTTAACTAAAGGGCCATTTAAAATGATTAAACTGTGTCATATATGACCAGTAGGGAACCGAAAGAGACTGAGTATGTACAAACAGAAGGAATGACTTAAGGAGCAAGGCTATCACCCAAAATTTTTAAACACCATTAGAATTTTAGTTGCTTTTTAAAATTGTATTTTTATTGAAAAAATTCTGCTTTGTGCTTTTAAGTTCGAATCCTTTTTTTTTTTTTTTTTTTTTTTGGTAAGGGCAAAAAACAAAACAAACCCCAAGTCCCAAACAAAACCATACAGTCCCCAATTTATTTAAACATTTGCAAGGCCTTAATTTGCTTTGTGGTATTCTCAACTGAAACCCTGGGTCCCTGTTAGGCCAAATTGGCAATGTCAGTAACGATTTCACGCCTCTTGGTCTCTCAACCACGTCAGTTTCTGGCAACCTCATTAACAGAGCTGCAGCATGGTTGGAGCTCCTGATGGCTCCCAGGGCAAATGTTCAGAGTCAAGGGAACGTGGTCCTAATCTAGAGAGCTCATATTTGTGCAATTTTGCTTTTGGTGTTTGCCAAGAAGACGTTATGACTCAGCCCAAGAAGGGCAGGCAGACTACCTGAGCAGAGATGGACTTCCTATGCACTTATGGGCCCCCCTGTGTGGTCAAGGAAGTGCATCTGGGTGGTAGATGATGGGAAGGTCTCCAGGGACCAGCATTTCCACACGCTGTTTCATCTGACCTTCATGGTCACCATGGCGGTTAGAGGAGTTTCACCCCATTTGTACCTGTCAGGGAACATGGAGAGCTATATCCTAGGTTACATAGAAATTGCTGGAGCTGAGATTTTAACCCAGGTTTGTCTGATTTCAAAGTCTGCTCTCATTCTGTTCCACCATCCTGCCTTTCTTTTCTACATGGTCTTTGGAAAAGAGGTTGTGCCATGGGGCAGGCCTTCTTTCCATGTCATCAAGCACCCCATAGATTGCTTAGAGGAACATAGATTGCTTCCAACAGAGAGGTGGCATGGTGTGAGAAATGATGCTGTGGGTGCTAGAGTCTGGCCACTAGGGTTTGGCCACTGGCTATGCCATTTACCTTGGGCGAGTCATAAATTCTCTTTGTTTCCCATATGTGGAATAGGGTAATAATACTTTTTTTTGGTGAGGACTAAATGAGATAAAGCTGGTAAAGCAACCAACCCTGCATAAGGCCTAAACAATGTTAGTTCTTGCTATTTTGTATCTTGACATTCTCCTTCCCTGCATTTGGGACAAATTATAGTTGCAATGACATAATGGGGTGGCATGCACCCTGGAGCCAGGCAGCCTGGGTTTGAGTCCTTGCCCTGCCAATTCTTAGGGTGATTTGGGGAAAGTGGCTTAGCTTCTCTGTGCCTTGGTTTCCTTGTCTGCAAAATGGAGATGACAATGGGATTTACTTTATAGGGTTTTGTGAGGATTCAATGAGTTCTATGCATTTAACTTGCCTAAAACAGTGCTTGCACATAATTGGTGCTCAAGATATCTTAGTTGTTTTGTTATTATTATTATTGTTTATTATATATAGTTGTTATTGTTACTAAACTGATGACTTGGTAATGATGAGCCACCCAAATTCAGGGCTAGATATTCTCAGGTGATGACATTGCCCATTTTTTTCAGGCCAAATTATTTTTTACAGGCTTTTAAGCTGCCCTACGTGGGCTGGTGACAAGGCCCCCTCTCTTCTGTGCTAACCCAGTTCTTTCTCTCTTTCTTTTCCCTGTATGTGTGTGTGTGTGTGTGTGTATGTGCATGCTTGTGTGTGTTTAAGATTTAATTTTTTTAGGGCAGTTTTAGGTCCACAGCCAAATTTTGAGAAGAAGGTACAGAGATGTCCTGCATGGCTCTGTCCTTATAGACATGCCTAGTCTCTCCCCATTACCAATATCCACCCCCCACCAAAGTGAAACATTTGTTATAATTGTTAACCTATGTGGACACATAATTGTGACCCAAAACTTGTACTTGACTTTCAATTTAGGGCTCACTCTTGGTGTTAAATGGTCAATGCATTTGGATGAATGTATAATGACATGTATCTATGATTATAGTATCATACAAGGTACTTTCACTACCCTAAAAAACCCACTGTGCTCTGCCCATTCAGCCCTTCCCTGACTCCAATCCCTGGAAACATCTGATTTTTTTTTATTGTTTCCATAAGGTTGTGCCTTTTCCAGAATATTCTATAGTTGGATCATACAATATGTAGCCTTTTACATTGGTTTCTTTCAATTAGTAATATGCATTTAAATTTCTTTCATGTTTTTTCATGGATTGATAGCTCATGTCTTTTTAGTGCTAAATACAATCCCATTGTCTGGATGTACCGCAGTTTATTTATCCATTCACCTGCTGAAGGACATCTTGGTTGCTTCCAAGTTTGGCAACTAGAATAAAGCTGCTATAAATACCTGCATGCAGATTTTTGTGTGGACATAGCTTTTCAACTCCTCTGGATAAATACCAAGGAGTGTGATTGCTGGATCATATGATAAGAATACATTTGGTTTTGTAAGAAATGGCCAAACTGTCTTCCAAAGTGGCTGTACCATTTTGCATTCCCGCCAACAATGAATGAGACTTCCTGTTGCTCCACATCCTGGCCAGCCTTTAGCATCCTTGGTGTTCTGGTTTTTGGCCATTCTTATAGGTGTGTTTCCTTGTTGTTTTAATTTGCCTTTCCCTGAGGACATACCACATGGAGTATCTTTTCATATACTTATTTACCAAATATGTATCTTCTTCTGTGAGTGTCTGTTAAGGTGATAGCCCATTTTTAAATTAGGTTGTTCCCATATTGTTTTAGGAGTTCTTTGTATGTTTCAGGTAACAGTCGTTTAACAAGATGTGTCTTTTGCAGACATTTTCTTCCAGTCTGTGACTTTGTCTTCTCATTCTCTTCTTGACTCCTGAACTTTTAGAAAGATGAGAGTTGAGCTCCTTCAAGTGCTGCATTTTAGTGGGTCACTCATCTAGAATTGTCTCACTTGGGGAAGAAAAAGTCTGTGAAAATATTGTTAGCACTGAAGGCCCTGCCCTGCTTACTGTCAAGTGGTCGGTCTCCTTCAAGACAAGGAGAATGCATTCATTTGTTAATTAAAATCTTCCTGCATTATTATTTTTAAAACTGCTGAATATTATCACGTGCCTGGGATTCCCTCTGGCTGATGGCCACACAAAGCAGGCAACTCATAGGACTCAGTGAGTTTTATTCTTTTATATATGTGTGCTAACTTATTAACATTATTACGTGAAGGGCGTCTTGGTAGTTTATTATAAAACAAGAAGGAAAACTCTGCATACTACTTTTCTGGACTAAGAAGTATTCTTCATGGAATAAAACTACTTTGTTTT